GTATAATCTTCTGTACTAACCATGCATATATATATATATATATATATATATATATATCTATATATCTATATATAGATATATAGATATATCGATGTGTGCTTCCAAAAGTCTATGCTGTTCAAAGGAAGAAAAACGAATATTCAAGGATTCTCTTTTCCTTGGCCCTACATTTCTCTAACTAAATCACCGTTCGCACAAAATTTTCAGCTGAAGTGTTAACGACATAAATAGTTTTTACATTCATGTTCGCAAGAACCGTACTCCGTTGCAAAGGCAGTCCTACTTATGGAAATTGGCCTTGGCCCTCTAAGCTGCCCTTTCGAGAGAAGTGGTATCACGACCTCAATCTGGAGGAAAGCATTAGCAGTGAAACCAGACGTTTTTATGTTGTTGGGGACGTTCTTCTGAGTTGTGTCGTGGCCTTTGCAGCGTATCGACTGTACCATCTGGGTTATCGTACAGACGCGTACCAAACACACTTGTGCCATTTGAACAACTACCCTCCTGCTATCATAGCTAACGAATTTAATTTCGAAAATCCATCCACCAACCGAAGGGTCGAACGCAAGGACCTCGACACTTACCGCAACGAAGTTACTAAGCTCAAGGCCCGTGGTCAGAATCTCGAAAGCATTATTTTCAAGTTTTAGGCAAGCCACCATGTAGCTAGTATTGACCGATGAAGGCAAAATTTATTTTTTTTTACTTTTTGAACAAAAACTAGGATTAGATCAGCATTCTTGTTTGTTGCCCTTCCCTCGGTTTAACTTTGGATCGTAGAAGAAGTTAGTAATTTATCCCTGAATTTCCATACGTTTGAATGTCAACTTGCCACCCCTTTGTTATTTTTATGAATCGCGAGTTGTATGCGTATCCATATTAAACTGATCCATCATATAGGAGTCCCAACTTGTTTCAAATACCTTTCTGAATGTCATGCTTTTTCTGACGCAATAACACCGCTTTTAAAAAGAAAAAGGAAACATTGTTTCCCTTTCTCCTCAGATGAGGTTTACACCTAGTTTGAAAGCGTTTGTTTAGGATAATAAAGCGATTAAAAGGTGTTTCTTACTTTTTCACGTCGGTGAAACCATCAGCTATATTCGATCCTATTCGTCGTATTTCAGTGCAAGCTGCACTTCAGGACTTTTAGGGAAGAGGGGGTCAAACGACAAGGTATTAAGGTATCCCGAATTATGCGTGGTCATAATACACTTACTTCACAGTAAAAGTCCGAAAATCCAGAATTCAACATCTGTATGGCAATAAACAGGTCAAAACAGGTTATTATCTTTAGAGGAACCAATGGTTGACACGGAAATATTTACATTCAGGATCCACACCCCAAGAGCCATAATCCTCCTAAGCAATGGTGTGTGTATAGAGAAGAGTTGTATGTAATAAAATATGTAGTGAACCAAAATCAGTGCATTTAGGCGAGAAAGACTAGTGACATTCATTTTAACCAGGGCTGACTCACATCAGCGGTTACAGCGGAAGGGGAGTGTCGCTGACATTGGCAGTTAATCTTCCTCTTCAACTCAAGGCTAGCAACAGTCCTAAAGCTTCACAGCCTTGGGGCTTGCATAAGGGAAGACTGGATCCAATAAAAATGATCGGCCCAATGATGCTGGCAGATCTGGCTCACTGCACACATCCGCATGAAAGGTGGATCTGGACGAGTTGATGGTGAAATTGCTGAGCTCGTCCCATCCGTGTGTCAGAGAGCTAGTGCTGACACGTGCAAGCGGGAGCGGAGCTCTGCTGCGCATTTCATTACTGAGTGACGACGATTTCGCAGACGTTTCGGATGCTCCAGCAACT